TCAGATCATGGGTTTGTGCACAGGGGTCTGCAGGTGAGTTTAACACTGGAAGCGAATGCACTGGTGCAGGTTGAGAATTGGTTAACATATAGAAAGCAGAGAGATAGTAGGAACTGCCGATGCTGGAGAATCTGAGATAACAAGGTGTAGAGCTGGATGAACACAGCAGGCCAAGCAGCATCAGAGGAGCAGGAAAGCTGACATTTCGGGTCTGGATCCTTCTTCAGATTTTCTGAAGAAAATTCAGATTTTCTGAAGAAGGGTCCAGACCCGAAACGTCAGCTTTCCTGCTCCTCTGATGCTGCTTGGCCTGCTGTGTTCATTCAGCTCTACACCTTGTTATCTCAGAAAACAGAGAGTGCAAGTTAATGGATAATTCCCTGTTACTGGTGGGAAATCGTAAGGATCAGAGCTTGGGTCACAACTGTTTACAGTCTGCTTCCAAGATTTGGATGTGGGGGACGATTTTAATATTTCCAAATTTGCTGAGAACGCATAACTGGGCGGAAATGCAAGTTGTGCAGGGAGACAATGCAAGGAGGTTTCAAAAAAACTTGGAGAGACACAGTGAACAGGTTAGAACTTGGCAGACTAATGTGACTAAGTGTGAAATCAGACAATTTGGGAGCAAAAATAACAAAGGCAGAATCTTTCTTACATAATGAGGGGTTTCTTCTGTAATACCTCTGACAGGGTGAACAGGAGGAGGAATTTCTTCACTGAATTTTCAGCAGCTGAGAGCTGGGGCAGCTAATTGATTGAGTGCCTTTGAGACAGAAAACAAGAGGATTGTATACAAAGTGACATTGAGGTGGTATATCAGCTGGGGTGGAATTGAATGGTATTGGAGAACGTGCCAGGGAGGGAGAATGTCAGGCGAGGATTTCTCATCTTTCCTCAGCGGGGAAGGACGGAAATGATTGAACAGGAAGAGGAAGGATGCTAATTGATGTTGTCGCTGCTTCCAGGAGGTAACGATTAATACAATGGCAAATCCTGTCTTTAACAACTGATGCCTTTCACACAGCAGGGTCTTTCTGGCCAATGAGGGCTTGTGTTTTATTACACAGCACTGCTTGCTCGGAGTCTGTTGCTGTGTCTCCGCAATGTGAGATAATGCAGGAGACAGGAACAAATGAGGCACACACTGTCACTGCTCAGAAATTGCTCTTGTTCAGACGTCCTCCCAAAAACCTCAGTCTTTAGCAGCTGTTCGTCCAGCTCACATGGTTTCCTGCTGGTCTGATCGCTCTCTCTCTCTCACCTCTGAACTGCCTCACCCAGTCAACCAGCCGATTCTCTTCCATCCCTCCCCTCACTTACCTCCATCTGTTCTATCAATGATATACAAAACCAATTAATTTCAAACTCCCCATTGAAAGGTCATGTTTCCCACTCAATCACTGTGAAATTTCCAGAGGTCACTGACAGTTCTCTGTCCCATTCCATCACAATGCTGCCTATCAGTGACAAACCTTTTGCTGGCTCCTCATCGCTGCTGTGGTGAGTTCCTGTTCACCTTCTGTCGAGGAGACCAGGCTTTAATTCCAGCAGACTTAAGGACAATCAGGAGCACGTAGTGAATTGAGCAGGTCAAGTGTTTCTGACCTTCCTCACAGCACCCAGGGACAGTGGGATTTAGTTTGGAGATTGATACAGGGATATGGGGAGAGAGTGTCTGGTCATTGATCCAATGGGAATGAAACATTTCTCAACTCTCTGCTCTTCCTGTCCTACCCTCCCAAGCCATACTCGAGCAAACATCACCTTCTACTGACAGACCAATGCACAAAGAAGGTGCATGTTATCATAATTCACTGTCTATTCACTGACTTGGAAGGTGATGGCACAGTGGTATTCTCACTGGACTGTTAAATACAGAAACCCAGACAGTGTTCTGGGGACCTAGGTTCCAATCCTGCTGTGGCAGATGGTGGAATTTTAATTCAATGTAAATCTGGAATTAAGATTCTAATGGTGACCACGATTCCTTTTGTCATTTGTTGGAAAAACCCATCTGGTTCACTAATATCGTCTCTCAAAGGCCTGTATCAATCTCCAAACTAATCCCACTGTCCCACTCTCTCCCCGTATCCCTGTATCAATCCTGACACTAATCCCACTGTCTCACTCTCTCCCCATATCCCTGTATCAATCTCCAAACTAATCCCACTGTCCCACTCTCTCCCCGTACCCCTGTATCAATCCTGACACTAATCCCACGGTCCCACTCTCTCCCCGTATCCCTGTATCAATCCCAAACGAACCCTACTGCCCTGCACCGTCCCCAAAGCTCTGTATCAATTCCCATACTAATACACGTGACTCCAGACCCACAGCAATGTGGTTGATTCTTAACTGCCCTCTGGGCATTTAGAGATGGGCAATAAATGCTGGTCAATGATGCCTTCATCCTATGAATGAATTTAAAAACAACTCCCCCTTTCACTATGGGACAGGTGGTGGCCATGTTGTGCACAGCAAGGTGCCACAAAGTACAGTGGGGTTTAAACGGCTGGTTAATCTGTATGTTTGACTGTGTGAGTTACAAAAGGGCTGTTGACACACAGACGCACTGTTCTTTCCAGCTTCAGCTTCAGCTCAGAGTCATGGGCCCTGCGGATCTAGATGTCCAGCCTGAGATACAGCACCCCCTGCAGTCAGACAGTGGGAGTGTCAGCCTGAAATATGGACTAGTCTCCATCAACCAGCACAGTGCTGCTCTGGCCCTCTCTCCATTACTGTGTAACCTCGTGCTGAAATGGCAAGAGACAGAATCCACACCATTGCACCTCTCATCCCATGATGGGTGGGCCCAGGAGGGTGCTCAGCAAACAAAAGCTGACCCTGAGGCCCAGCTGGGTGTTAGCTCCAGTAACCAAGAGCTTAGTCCAGAGTGGGAACGGGAGGCACTCTGAGCCCTGACAGGGTTGTAGGCTCTAAAGAACCTTAGTGACAGTGATGAGAAGGGAACAGAGGATGTGGATGATGGTAAATGTGAGGAGTTACCAGATGAGCGGCCAGGGTGGGTCAGTGGACTCGGGACTGACAGTTGGATGGGCATTTGGAGGTGAGCAGCAGAATTTTGGCTGAGCTGAATTTGAGAAGGTAGGGATTCTATGAACTAGGAATACGATATACTGGGGTGGGCGGAGACAGTGCAGTATACTGTGGGAGTGTGTGATATACTGGGGTACAGTGCAGTATACTGTGGGAGTGTGTGATATACTGGGGTACAGTGCAGTATACTGGGGGAGTGTGTGATATACTGGGGGACAGTGCAGTATAGTGTGGGAGTGTGTGATATACTGGGGTACAGTGCAGTATAGTGTGGGAGTGTGTGATATACTGTGGGAACAGTGCAGGATACAGTGGGAGTGTGTGATATACTGGGGATAGTGCAGTATACTGTGGGAGTGTGTGTTATACTGGTGGACAGTGCAGTATACTGTGGGAGTGTGTGATATTCAGGGTGGACGGTGCGGTATACTGTGGGAGCATGTGATATACTGGGGGTCAGTGCATTATACTCTGAGACTGTTGATATACTGGGGGGCAGAGCAGTATATGGTGGGAGTGTGTGATATACTGGGTGGGAGGGTTCAGTACACTGTGGGAGTGTGTGATATTTTGGGGGGGCAGTGCAGTATACTGTGCCAGTGTGTGATGTACTGAGGGGACCGTGCAGTATACTGTGGGAGTGTGTGCTATACTGGGGTGG